CCATTGAAACTGGAAATCTATTGGCTGGTGATTAGGCTTAGAAACTCCCTCTCCTTCCGTAACTTAATTGCATGTACCTTCATCTGTTTCCTTTTATGGTTATCTGGGTGTTTTCCAGATTAGGCACAAGAGCTTTAATGAAAATGCAAAGAACACTGAGCTAGTAACCAGGAGATGTTGATTGTAGCCCCGGCCATGACATTAACCCACCATATGCTTCAGGGTGAATCCATTTTCCTCCCAGGGCCTCAGTTTCTTTATCTATAAAATGAGGAGCTCTGGTTCCCTCCCATCCAACACAACTCAACACACACAGTTCTACTTTTATGGTTTTGTTATTGGGTTTACTGGAAAATTTTAAGTGAAAAATGATTCCTCTGTTACTTAAAGTTTTAAAAACCACTGGAATGGATGATCTAGATTACTATAGATGACTAACTGCTTTTAGATTTTAGCTATGTTTATATCTCTCTTTAAAAATTTATTTTTTATTGTGTTGAAAAACATAAAATCTGCCTTATTAACCATTTTTAAGTGTACAGCACAGTATTGTGAACTATACACACATTGTTGTACAGCAGATCTCTAGAACTTTTTCATCTTGCATGACTGAAACTCTATAACCATTGATCAGCAACTCCCCATTTTTTCCTAACCCCATCCACTGGCAGCCACCATTCTACCTGTGTCTAAAGGTTTGACTACTTTAGATATCTTGGATAAGTGGCATCATGCGGTATTTGCCCTTCTGTGACTAGCTTATTTCACTTAGCACAATGTCTTCAAGGTTCATCTTTTTAAAGCCTGAATAATATTCCACTGTATGTTTATATCACATTTTCTTTATCCATTCACCCATAGATAGACATTTAGGTTGTTTCCACCTTTTGGCTATTGTGAATAATGATGCAATAAACATGAGAGTGCAAATATTTTTGGGATCCTGATTTCAATTATTTTGGATGAATACCCAAAAGTGGATTGCTGGATGATATGGTAATTTTATTTTTAATTTTTTGAGGTACCTCCATGCTGTTTTCTATAGCAACTATACCATTTTACATTTCTACCAATAATGCATAAGGGTTCCGATTTTTCAGTATCCTTGCCAGCACTTGTTATTATTTTTCTAAAAATGATGGCCATCCTAACAGGTGTGAGTGATATCTCATTGTGGTTTTGATTTGCATTTCCCTGATGATCAGTGATGTTGAACATTTCTCATGTACCTGCTGGCCATTTGTATGTCTTTGGAGAAATGTCTATTGAAGTACTTTGCTCACCTTTTAATTGGCTTTTTTTTGGTGGTGGAGTTCTTGAGTTGTAGGCGTTCCTTATATATTTTGAATATTAACCCCTTTTAAGATATATAGTTTGCAAATATTTTCTTTCATTCTGTAGATTGTCTTCTTACTCTGTTCATTCTTTCTTTTGCAGTGAAGAAGATTTTTAGCTTCATGCAGCCCTACTTGTCTATTTTTTGCTTGTGCTTTTGGTGTCATATCCAAACAATCATTGCCAAGATCAATTTTATGAAGTTTTCCACTATGTTTTCTCTTAGAATTTTCATAGTTTCAGGTCTTACATTTAAGTCTTTAAGCCATTTTGAGTACATTTTTGTGTATGGTGTAAGATAAGGGTCTATTTTCATTTTTTTTGCATGTGGATATCCAGTTTTTCCAGCACCATTTGTTGAAGAGACTGTTGTTACCTTATATGTAGATGGGTGTCTCTGTCAAAGATCATTTGACCACATATGTGTGGGTTTATTTCTGGGCTCTGTATTCTGTTTCATTGGTTGCATCTCTGTCCTTATGTTAATACCATACTGTTTTGATTACTGCAGCTTTGTAATGTGTTTTGAAGTCAGGAAGTGTGAGTCCTCCAGATTTGTTCTTCTTAAGATTGTTTGGGCTATTTGGGGTCCTTTGTGATTCCATATCAATTTTAGGATTGTTTTTACTATTTCTGGAAAAAAAAAAAAAAGACACTGGGGATTTTGATAGGGATGGCATTGAATTCGTAGATCTCTTTGAGTAGTAGAGACATTTTAACAATACTAAGTCTTCCAGTTTAAGAACATGGATACCTTTCAATTTGTTTATATCTTCTTTAATTTCCTTTATCAATATTCTTTAGTTTTCAGTATATAAGTCTTTCATCTCCTTAGTTAAATTAATTTCTAAATATTTTGCTCTTTTTGATTTTTTGTAAATATAATTATTTTCTTAATTTCCTTTTGGGATTATTCATTGCAACTGATTTTTTAATGGTGAGTTTATATCCTGCAGCATTAATGAATTCATTTTTTAGTTCTAACAGTATTCTTATGTGAAATCTTTATGATTTTCTCTATATAAGAGCATGTCATATGTGAATAAAGATAATTTTACTTCTTTTTTTCTGATTTGGATGCCTTATATTTCCTTTTCTTGCCCAGTTGCTCTGGCTAGGACTTACAGTACGATATTTAATGGGAGTGGTGAGAATGAGAACCTTGCCTTGTTATTGATCTTAAAGAAAAGTTTTTAGTTTTTCACCATTTAGTATGATACTAGTCATGATCTTATCATGTATGGCCCTCATTATGTTAAGGTAATTTCCTTCTATTTCTAATTTTTTGAGGATTTTATCATGACTGCATGTTGAATTTTGTCAAATGATTTTTCTGTATCTATGGGATGATCATGTGATTTTAATCCTTAGTTCTGTTAATGTGGTGTATCACATTGATTGATGTCATATGTTGAACCATCTTTGCTTGGTCATAGTGTTTGATTTTTTTCAATATGCTGTACAATTCTGTTTGCTAGTATTTTGTTGAAGATTTTAGCATGTATGTTTATCAGGGATATTGGCCTCTAGTTTACTTTTCTCATAGTGTCTTTGTCTTTGGTATCAGGGTGATGCTGACCTCATAAAATGAGTTTAGAAATGTTCTCTTCCCTTCAATTTTTTGGAATAGTTTGAGAAATGCTAGCATCAGTTCCTCTTTAAATGTTTGATAGAATTATCCAGTGAAGCCATCTAGTTCTGGGCTTTTCTTTGAGGTTTTTAATTACTGATTCAATTTGCTTACTAGTTATAGGTTTGTTCTTACTAGTTTAGGTTTGCTCTTTTTATTTCTTCAGCATTCAGACTTGGTAGGTTATATGTTTCAGGAATATCCATTTCTTCCAGGCATATAATTTGTTAGCATATAGTTTTTCTTAACTATATCTTATAATTATTTTTATTGTTGTAGCATCAATTGTAATATTTCCACTTTCATTTTTGATTTTATTTAGGTCTCCCCGTTTTTTTCTTAGTATAGCTAAAGGTTTGTCATTTTTGTTGATCTCTTGAAAAAGCCAACTCTCAGTTTCATTGATTTCTTTCTGTTGTTTACTATTCTCTGTTTCAGGTATTTCTGTTATAATCTTTGTTTTTCTTCATTTCTGCAAACTTTGGATTTAGCTTGCTTTTATTGTTTCTTACAGTTCTTATAATTCCTTAAGATATAAAGTTAGGTTATTTATTTGAGATCTTTCTTCTTCTTTAATGTAGGCATTTATCACTACAAACTTTCTTCTTAGTATGACTTTTGCTTATTTGCATAAGCTTTGGTATGTTGTGGTTTTGTTTTTATCTGTCTTAACATATGTTCTAATTTTCCTTTTAATTGCTTCTTTGGTCCCTTGATTGTCGAGAAGTATATGATTAACTTCGTGTATTTGTGAATTTCCCAGTTTTCCTTCTGTTATTGGTCTCTAGTTTTCATTCTATTGTGGTTGGAAATTGGTATGATTTCAGTCTTTTCAAATTTGCCAATACTTGTTTGGTAACCTAATATGTGATCTATATTGGAGAATGTCCATGTGAACTTGAGAAGCATGTGAATTCTGCTGCTATTGGATGGAATGTTCTTTATCTGTCTATTAGATCTATCTGATTCATAGGGTTGTTCAAGTTTGCTCTTTTCTTTTTGATTTTCAGTCTGGATGTTCTAGCTATAACTGAAAGTGAGGTATTCAAATCTTCTACTATGATTGCATTGCTGTCTGTTTCTCCTTCAGTTCTGTTAATATTTGTTTCATGTATTTGGGTGCTCTGATGTTGGGTACATATACGTTTATAGTTGATTTATCTTTCTGGTAAATTGGCCCCTTTTATAATTATATGATGTCCTCTTATGTCTATTGTGTCAGTTTTTATCTTAAAGCTTATTTTTTCTGATATAAGCATAGCCACCTCTGCTGTCTTTTGGTTACCATTTTCATGGACTATATTTTTCTATCCTTTTCTTTCAGTCTACATATGTCTTTAAATCTAAAGTGAGTCTCCCATAGGCAGCGTATAGTGAGATCTTGATTTTTAAAAATCCATTCAGCAACTCTATGTCTTATGATCGGGAATTTAATCCATTTACATTTAAAGCAATTACTTATAGAGAAGGACTTTAGATTGCCTTTTGTTAATTGTTTTCTGTCTTGTAGTTTTTTGTTCTTTTTCTTTCTCTCTTTGTGTTGTCATTTTGGTATTGACAGGTTTTGAATTGTTTCTTAATTTCCTTTATGTATCTTCTATGTGTATTTTCTGTGTAGTTAACATGATGCTTACATAAAACACTTATAGTTATAACAGTCTACTTTAAGCTGGTAACAACTTAACCGCAATCACATAGAACTATACTCTTTAACTTTTTTCTCCTTCACACTTTGTGTTAACTCTTATACTATAATTAAAAGTGATTTATGGACCACCATTACAATATTCTGTATTTGTTTATACATTTACCTTTACCAGCAAGCTTTATACCTTCACATGTTTTTGTGTTGCTGTCTAGCATCCTTTTATTTCAACTTGAAGGACTCTCTATAGCATTTTGTGCAAGTCTAATGGTGAGGAACTCCTTCAGCTTTTATCTGGGAAATTCGGTGTTTCTGCTTCATTTTTGAATGTCAATTTAGCCATATATAGTATTCTTTTTTCATTTTTATTTTTATGTTTTTTACTTTTAGCACTTTGAATATATTCTCCTATTTCCTGCTGGCCTGCAAGGTTTCTGCTGAGAAACCCATTGATATTCTTATGAAGAATCCTTTTCATGTGGTGAGTAGCTTTCCTCTTGCTGCTTTCAAAATTCTCTCTTTGTCTTTGACTTTTGGCAATTTGACTGTGATGTAGAATTTTACAAGTTTATCTTAATTGGGATCCTTTAGGCTTCTTTTATCTGTATGTCCATTTCCTTCCCCAAAGTTGGGAAAATTTCAGCCATTATGTCTTCACATAATCTTTATGCCATTGTCATTCTCTCTCAATCTCTCTCTTTCTCTCCTTTTCTTCTGGAGTAGCTATAATGTGTAATTAGTCTGCTTAATGGGGTTCCGTAAACCCCTTAGGCTTTCTTCATTCATTTTCATTTTTTTTTTCCTTTTGTTCTTCTGACTGGGTAGTCTGAAGTGATCTGTTTTTGAGTTTCTTGATTCTTTTTTTCTGCTTCATCACTTTTACTGTTGAACCCCTCTAGTGAAATTTTCAATTCAGCTGTTGTGTTCTTAAGCTCCAAAATTGCTCTTGGTTATTTAAAATTTTTTCTCTTTGTTGATATTCTCATTTTGTTCATTTATCATTTTTCTCACAACTTTGTGATGGTTATTTTGAATTCTTTGTCAGGTACTTCATATACCTCTATTTCTTTAGGGTTGGTTACTAGAGATTTATTTTGTTCCTTTGATTGAGATATGTTTCCCTATTTCTTTATGTGTCTTGTAACTGTGTTGGTATTCATGCATTTGAAAAACAGCCATCTCTCCTAGTCTTTACTCACTGACTTCATACAGGGAAATAACTTCACCAGTTATTTCAGCTAGAGATTGTGAGGACCTCTCACGTCTTTTCTGGAGATGTGTTTTCTTTGGTTTCTCCCAATTAGAGAGGCTTGCAAGTTGTTTTTTTTCAGAGCTTGTAATCTCTTGCTCCCTCTGGTGTCTATCTCTAGTATTATGAGTTTTCTGGTGCAACCACAAGCAACTGAGTTTTTAGGTTTTTTTTTTTTTTTTTTTTTTTGGTCCCTGTGGCCCTAAGCACATGAGGTATGTTGGTTTCCCATTAGGACTCTGAACCAGATGAGGCAAAAACTCGTTCCTCAGGAAACCCCCTGAAAAGGCAGAATGCTGGACACACACACCACCCTCCTCTTTTTTTTTGTCCCAGGGAAAAAGGCATAGCTAGGTGCTTACTCCTGATTACAACAAGCCGTGCTAATTTCTATCGGTGATATTACAAGTTCTCTGGCACTGCCACAAGCCACTGACTCTCTTTTGCTCTCTGTGGCTCCCAGGCATCCAATGTATGTCAGTTCCCATGAATCTTCCGAGTCAGGTGAGACAGAAACCAGTTCCTTGGGCAGCCCCCCCCAAAGCTGAAACTTTGAACATACATTTCATTCTTTTCTCTACCTGTCACAAGAGAAGCTGTATGTTGGGTTTTTCCTCCCAGAGATGTCCTGGCTTGGGGGAGGGGCTAACATTGTTGAAATGAAATGAATTTCTTACCTATTTCAATGCAGCTGCTCTTGGCTTTGAGACTGCCTGGGGGTATTGTGACTTCCTAACTGATTTCTAGGTTCTCATAAAAACTTTTTGTCTGTATATTGTTGTTTAGTTAATGTTTCTGTGGGGGAATGGGATTTGGGGTTTCCTATTCCCCTATCTTGATGATGTCACTCTTCTATATCTCTTAAATAATGAGAAATTAAAACTTGCTCACTCCACCCTCATATGTGCAAAGACACACACACCTTATTATCCTACCTATGACCTCCTTTTTATTTATGCAATTCTCCCCCTAACGTATCCTCTCTCTCAACATTGCCCAGCAATGCCCCAAGGTCCCATGAATAGGTTTAATAACATCTTTAGACCTAAGCTATAGGAATCCCTGCTCTAGGTCTTGTACTGAAAGATAATGCATACCACAAATACAAAAAGACAGATTTATTTAAGAGCACAGGGGCACCTCTGTCACTCAGGATCTGGTGTTGAGGGCTGACATATGCAACCCTGAACATCTGTTCTTATCACTAACATCTTCTGGACGTTAGGGAAAAACTTTTTTTTAAAAAAAAAAACTCTTAATATATGTCCCTGAAACATGCTTTAAAGGTTTGCGGTTTGTGTCATTGCCAATGTTGAAGCTAGTCCCTATTTTAGAATGTGGGAAATATTTGAACAACAGAAGCATTTAGGTAAAAGAAGAGACGAATTAGTCAATTTGTCAACTCTTTCTTTTCAAAAAGCTTTAATATGGAGATTCCTGCTCAATAAAGAATCATTTCCCAGTGACATGGAGGGTACTTTTTCTTGCTTCTCTGTCTTCTGGTTCTGGAGATACATCCATTGGTATGGTATTTATAGCAATCATAGGTGGCAGATGAAGAACTATTAACTTTGTAATAGTTAAAATTTATGTTACCCTGAAATTTATATATAGGAAGAGGTAACATGTATGATGTCTGATACTGATTCTTTACCTTTCTGTTAAATCTGGTTACTGTGTTTAAAATGGTGAAAATCATTAGACAAGTGATAATTTATACAATGAAATTATAATAGTTTGTAAAGCTTTCTATGATAGTGATAATTTATCCTATGTAATCCCACTATAATGTTTGCATATTCTATCTAAAATTTACAGATCTTTCTAAATCTAAGACAACAGTCTAATTGCTTTAATAATTTTATTGATGGTTCCAGTTTCTCCTGCCTCTGAAGAGTGAGTTTTTTCTAAACTGAAATTAGTATAAACTTACCTAAGAACTACAGTGACTCAGGAATAATTGTGTAATCTGGTGTTACTATTAAAGGAACAAAAATTATGTGACAATCTTGATTATAATAGCATACAAAAATTTTTGCCTAAATGAAGGAAAGAAAATTTTGTGGAATTAGTGTATAGCATTTTATAAATTATATATTCCTTTATTTTAGTAGTCAACAAACATCAATCAATTATTAGTAGAACAGTGGTTGATGTAGATTAGTAGAACAGCCAGACACGTACGATATTAATTAAATTCTGTTATCTTTGATATCTTGTTTATTTTCAGTGACATAAAAATCATAGCTTCACACATATTTTTAGATTTTTGTTTCTGTTAAAGTATATTTGTCAATGTAGGGATGTAGAAGGCAGTTCATGTAACAGTTTACTAGTTTGATTATGAATTTTGAATTTAGACATCCAGTAGAGGGGCCTCTAGCTATACTTTTGTCCTGAACCCATAAAATGTTTGAACCTGGTCTGAATAGGTTATAGTGTGACAGCCAACACTTGTGACTACTGTGACACTGAAAGTATCGATGAGCAGGTGTCTGAAATCATGGAGCTGCTGATCATATCTGTGGAGCTGTTTGAGGGTGCTCTAGAAGTGCAGTGCTCAGCCCAAGGAACATGGGTGAGGGGAATAGGATATGGTTGAGGGTCCTGGTATGGCATCTTCTTTTTGTCCCCTTTGAGTAGCCTCAAGCAAGCTGCAGAATTACTACTCTAATCATGAAAGCATATTTATAGCTTCATCACTGTTTAAAATACTGGGTTTGAGAAAATTTGACTTACATCCATACCAATTCACATTTTCTTTCTCTTTTTTTAAGTTCTGGGGTACATGTGCAGGATATGCAGGTTTGTTACATAGGTAAACATGTACCATAGTGGTTTACTGCATCTATCAACCCATCACCTAGGTATTAAGCCCAGCATACATTAGTTATTTTACCTAATGCTATCCCTCCCCCAACCTCACCCCCTGACAGGCTCCAGTGTGTGTTGTTTCCTTCCCAGTGTCCATGCTTTCCTATTGTTCAGCTCCCACTTATAAGTGAGAACACGTGGTGTTTGGTTTTCTGTTCCTGTGTTAGCTTGCTAAGGGTAATGGCTTCTAGCTTCATCCATGTCCCTGCAAAAGACATTATTTTGTTCCTTTTTATGGCTGCATAGTATTCCATGGTGTACATGTACCACATTTTCTTTGTCCAGTCTGTCATGGATGGACATTTAGGTTAATTCCATGTCTTTGCTATGGTGAATAGTGCTGCAGTGAACATACGTGTGCATGTATCTTTGTAATAGAATGATTTATATTCCTTTGGGTATATACCCAGTAATGAGATTGATGGGTCAAATGGTATTTCTGATTCTAGATCTTTGAGGAATCACCACACCACCTTCCACAATGGTTGGACTAATTTACATTCCTACCAACAGTGTAAAAGTGTCCCTATTTACTTACAACCTTGTCAGCATCTGTTGTTTCTTGACTTTTTAATAACCACCATTCTGACTTGCGTGAGATGGTATCACACCATGGTTTTGATTGCATTTCTCTAATGATCAGTGATGTTGAGTTTTTTCATATGTTTGTTGGCTACATAAATGTCTTCTTTTGAGAAGTGTCTGTTCATGTTCTTTTCCCCCTTTTTATTTTATTTTTCTTATAAATTTGTTTAAGTGCCTTGTAGATTCTGGATATTAGAACTTTTTCAGATGGATAGGTTCCAAAAATTTTCTCCCACTCTGTAGGTTGCCTGTTCACTCTGATGATTGTTTATTTTGCTGTGCAGAAACTCTTTAGTGTAATTAAATCCCATTTGTCAATTTTTGCTTTTGTTGCAATTGCTTTTGGTGATTTTGTCATGAAATCTTTGCCCGTGCCTATGTTCTGTATGGTATTGCCTAGAGTTTCTTCTAGGGTTTTTAATAGTCTAGGGTTTTACACTCAAGTCTTTAATCCATCTTGAGTTAATTTTTCTATAAGGTGTAATGAAGAAGTCCAGTTTCAATTTTCTGCATAAGGCCAGCCAGTTTCCCAGCATCATTTATTAAATAGGGAATCCTTTCTCCACTACTTGTTTTTGTCAGATTTGTTGAATATCAGATGGTTGTAGATGTGCAGTCTCATTTCTGAGTTTTCTATTCTGTTCCATTGGTGTATGCATCTGTTTTTGTACCAGAACCATGCTGTTTTGGTTACTGTAGTCTTGTAGTATAGTTTGAATTCCAATAGTGTGATGCATCCAGTTTTATTCTTTTTGCTTAGGATTGTCTTGGCT